AGCAGCATTGGATGGCACAACTCCCTCTCTTACTGGAGGTGGCCTTGGAAGAGCAGGAGCCTCACGACGCTCTATTCCAGCTCACAATTCTGCATTCTCTTTTCTTAATGCTTCGATTACACTCATCAATTCATCGAGCTTCAACTGCTGGCCATTATCTAATGGATTTGAGCTCTCACCTCCGATCATCATTCCTGATCGGAGCAAAGTCATCAACTGCAACTTTCTGGTCAGATCTAAGTTTCGCTAATGCAATCACACTAGATCTAGACTCAAATTGGCTGAATTCTAACCTTACTAGACCAAATACGAATCTCTTCCACTGTGAACCTGTTAAATCTCGCTCTGGCAAACAAAACACAATTATATAGATCGATTGAACAGGCACAGACCAGAGCTACGTAGATCAAACGCAAATCTCTTCAAGATCAACCAGAATCGAAATTCGGCAAGACAAACAACGAATCACTCACGATCCTAATTCACTTTTCAAATATCAAGCTTCTTCCTCACGAATCACTCACGATAGAATCACTTTGACCGATCGAAAATCAATCTTCCTCGATTCCCACAGACGGCGCCATTGAAGATGAAAGAAATTTCTATCTTAATTTTTATAGAGTTTCATTACATTTCCAGAATTCTTTTCCCTCTAATTTTCAGCCTATTTATAGACTGTTACATACCTTCTAGAAGCTTCCTAACTAAATCACTGTGCTGGCCCCCTCCCGGGCCTCTCTTGTTATGGGCTTTACTACTTCCAGTGCATCTTCAGCTGGTTCTTTCATCTTGGGCCTATTTTGTGAGTGCTTGGTTCGGATCTGGGTCAGTTACCAGGCCCATTGCTCATCATGTGAACCATGCCCGACCCATTCCGTTTTTGGCATCCTCAGTAATATATATTTAGAGATAATAAAATTTTAAGATTTTCTAATTTTAAAAAATAAAAAAATATTAAGAAATTAGACAGAGGCATTTTGCACTTTTATACATAGTATATATTTATAGATAATTTAATTTAGAAGGTAATAACTCTTGATGCGATGGAGAAACTGATGTCAGGATATGAATTGATATATCAAATTAACTAATTTTTTTAAATATAATTAAAATTTTGATGGGCAATCAAAAATTAATTACTTAGATGGGGAGTATTAATTATGTAATGTGTCATTAAAATTGAAATATTGCACACATCAGAAAGGTCACTCTGGTGTGGTCTCTTCAAATTTCACATTCTGAAAAAAGAGAAAATATATAACATATCAGATACATTCTTCAAATTTTATCTATTTTATTATAAAAAATGTGAAAAATGTATAGAAATAGTAAAAAAAAGTCTCGTACTTTTATAACGTAGTTTATATTTAAAGATTTTAAAATTTTATGATTTTTTATTTTTAAAAAATTATAAAATATTAAGAAATTAGACAGAGACATCTTGCACTTTTATACATAGTATATATTTATAGATTATTTAATTTAGAAGGTAACAACTCAGGAAAAAGAACTCTTAATTAACGTCTTCCATGAAAAAGAAACGTTTAGGAATAGGTAATAATATTAATATTAATAACCATAATTTGTGAATGATTAGGGGCTTTTAATATGACTTTTTTTGTGAAGAAAAAAAATAATAATAATTATTAAGAAATTAGTGACACTTTTAAAATAATATATATGACCCTAATAGCTTTCGTCACGCGACTCACACCCCATATCTGAGTTGTGGTTACCAGGCTTTGGAAAACAAGTGATGAACAATTGGAACATTGCTTTCAATAAAAGTATCACGCAACTAATTTAAGAGAGAGAGAGTGTTAACATCAATCTTCTTCTCAAACTGGCACTAAAGAGAGAGATAAAGTCTACCCTGAAATATATAACATGTTTTATATAGAAATTGTCATTTGGTTTTTGAATTGATGCACAGGATATGTCAAGTGAACCTATGTGTACTCCATACATCGTATCAGAGATGATTGCGGGTATTCGAAGGAATTAGTCAAATTTTAAAAGGAAATGAAAATACATTTCATCTTTTTAAAAATAAATGAACAAATAAAGTGAATTCATATCTGATTTATGTAATAAATTCACCTTTTGTTAGGCACGTGATCAACATAATATGTTGATCTCAATAGAAAATTTATAGAGGATCAATTCTGACATTCTAATGTTTGAAATGATAATAAATAATAATAAAATAATTTATTTCTGTTATCAAATGAGACTATTGTCACTAATTGAAAAAACAAATGAACGTATGAGATGAAGATAAACGAGGACGTATAATTTTCCAAAAAAAAATTTAAAAGTCATAATTTATATAAATTTGTTTTCAGAAAATTGACACTCCCACCCCACAAAATTTGCCTCCATTGGGTCCCAAAATCATTCATGAGTACCTTCCGGAGAGTACCCAGATCCAACTGAAAGTTCCCTCGGATTTTGAGATAGGCAGTGGGACCCATTCAATTGCCCAAAACAAAAAAATTAAGCCCAGCCCAATCGACATTGCATCAAATGCAATGCTACAATTCAAACGTAGCAGTGGGTTTAACTGTCAAATTTCCTGACTTGAGGCCTTCCATCTATTTCAAGAGGTATGAGAGTCTAGTCTTGCACGAATCTTTGAGTCACAGTTATAAACTTACATACGCACACACATATATATATTATGTATATATACGAACACATACGCGTATCTATATAGGAGTGCATAAATGACCGTTAGGGTTAATAAATCACATTGGGTTCGGAAAGACTGTTACTTACTAGTAAAAAAGAGATTATATCACATTGGGTTTTATTCGTGTATCAGAACAGTTTGGTTCTAATTATAAAAATTAAAAAATAATTGATTCCGAATAATTTAGTTTGGTTCATAAGTTAGGTCAAACTAAATGTTTGCACACCTACAATACATTATATGGAATCATAATATCGAATCAAATCGATTGTTGTAATTAGATATTAGGTTCATTTCCAATGTTTTCGAAATTTTTAGCATGAATTTTATTAAGATCAAAATGTGTGCAGTTAATATAATATAGTAGAGTAATGTTATTAAGACAGTTATTTAATCACTAGAATGATTAGTTCTTCGTACAGTATTTAATTAGTTTCTCTATCCTAAATAAGATATCCTGCTTGAGGAACCGTGACTCACATGCAGTTAATATATTATATTAGAGTAATGTTATTAAGATAGTTATTTAATCACTAGAATGATTAGTTCTTCATATACTATTTAATTACTTCCTCTATCCCAAATTAAATGTCCTATTTAGGAAACGGTGACTCACATACAGTTAATATAATATATTAGAGTAATGTTATTAAAATTGTTATTTAATCACTAAAATGATTAGTTCTTCATACAGTATTTGTTAGAAACGGGATATTAAAAATATAAACTTTGCATGAGATTTTGAATAGATTCATCAAAGAATTTTTTGCGGATCTATAGACGAGCGCGTTCCTTTCCGCAAAGAGATGAACGTGGTATATTTACTTTCTCAAATCTGTTTCCGAGTGAATGAAAAATTAACTCCAAAGTAAGGTGTTTGATAAGCCTAAATGAGTTTGTAAAATTTGGAAAGTATTTGTCCCACATCAAAAAATATTAAAATTAAAAGGCACCGTAAAACCTATATAAAACCTTCCCTTAGGTTCATTCTAAAGCATTCCAATTCAAAATCATTTTTTCAAATTGTTTATTAAAAAATATATTAAAATATATAAAATATCAAATGAATTATTTAAATATACAGAGTAGTTTGGGAGCTAGGTGATATCATACTACTAACTGTTTCAAAACTTGCGGCTATTGTCAGTGCTTGGGTCTAGGAAGCCTAATAAAAAATAAAAAAAAACGTAATATAATATAATAATAATAATAATAATAATAATAAATCATAAATGTACTACTTTTTAAGAAAGTGGAAACGTGGAAGGTCCTTAAGACCTCTCTCTCCTGGGACCACCTTTGGTGGCTTCTCTAAAAGGCACGCGCCCTACAAAGATTCCCCGCCGCCATACATACTCTCTCTACTTTCTCTCTCCATACTATTCCATTCCATCACGTTTTAAGTCTCCTTTTGCAGCCCTCTCCACAAATTTCTCAAATTACAATATTACCCCTCCAATACGTAAATGCTTTTCACATTATACTCACCCTTTACACCCGCAGGGCTTCTCAATTTTTTTATAAATAAAATTAAAATAAAATTTTAACTTTTGTAACACAATCTCGAGATAATTACAATTTACAAAATTACTTCTGTCTCAAATTAAGTAAAACCGTGATACTTAATTTGAGATAAAATGAATAGTATTTTAATCTATTTGTTAGGAAAAAAATAAATAAAAATTTGTGTTTATGTATAGTGTTGTATCTTGTTGTTTAGTTTTATGGTTTCAATACTATTTGTCCGTACAATGGTTAGAAAATAAATATAGAGTTTTAAAAATATGGGACAATTAGGTCACATGAGATCAGATCGAAGTCCACTTACATGGCATTCCCTCAACATGACATGATAAGGGCTACATAATTCAACCTCGTGACATGGCCCCAAAATGATTGCTAGGCTCCATTTTCTACCTAAACCCTATAAATCTTGAATCTCTGGTTCAGGCCCCCATGGACCATGTTTCATAAATTCCATGACTCTCAAACAAACATTACAATATAATAAATGGTACATATTCACACTTAAAATATTAATATAACTATCTCAGTTGTAAAAATTGATTTTTTTTGGACTATTCGTAACAACTTGTGTGAATCCCATCATATACTGAAGCGCATAAAAAATTAAACCTGAACTTTCATATGATTAGAGAAATGCCTCTCTCTCAATTAAACTATTGAACTCTTCCTAATTCAAGAATTATCCATTTTATTATAAAAGAACCCCTAATTGATTGGACGCTGATACATAGTACCATTTGAAAATGGGATACCCTTTTGATATTATACAAAAGGATAAGGATTAATAAAAGCTTTTATAATTAATATTCTCTCTGTTTCGAATTCAATATTGCATTTGGTATTTGTAACTCACATTGTTCTGAGTCACAAATACCAAAGACGACATCTATTTCGGAACAGAGGTGGTACAATCATAGTAACTAGTAACATTGAATTGAATTACACGAGTTAACTTCAAAGAATATTGAGACTAATAAAACTCAAATCTCAACTTTACCCTCCCCAAATAATTAAAATGAAAAAAAAAAAAGAGTACAAGCATAACTAAGAATAAATCCACAAATTGACCTCCCTTTCTTCACAAATTCCATTTGTGTCCTCTACCATATGTGTTGATAATAGAAGTAGTTTTCTAAATCGCTCTCTCTACAAGTCAATACGGCCCTTTATTTGTTCACATGTTGTTGCGGAACTGCTGTTGTAAGAACCAAATGTCCTCAGCATTCCACAAATTGTCCGACATGTCCCCACTCTCCATCCACTGCGATTGGTTGTTCTGCTCCATAGCTTGGAAATCTAACCCTTGGTTAAAGTAACCACATGGGCTAATTAGGGATTCCGAAAAATCAGCCTGATTAACCTGGAAATAATCCTGGTTTTGGATATTGTTAACCGGCACCGGATTATTGTAATACTGATCAGTCAAGTCAGAGACAGGTGAAACCTGATTCCCAAACGAGTCCGATGACGCCGCCGTGCTAGAATTCTCCGGGGTGGCAATAGTGTTAACCTGCGCACCCCCAACGGTAGCTGGTGGAAATCCGACGTGGCCGGTGGGGGTCATATTGATGGAATTGTTGAGCTGATAAGTGTTGGAGGTGGTTGTGGAGGAGTCTCCACCGGTGGCGGCGGCGGCGGTGGCGGTGGCGGCAGCCGCCTGAATCCGCTCCACCAGCCTCGGCATCCAAATGTAACGCATGGTGTCCTTGAATTGCTTGCTGTTCACGTCACATTTCAGCTGTTTCGCATGCTTCTGAACCCGAGTTCTCCAGTAATTCTTGATCTCATTATCAGTCCTTCCCGGCAAGTATTGAGCAATCTTCGACCACCTACACATTTTTCAAACATTATCAATTAAGATCAGTAGCTGAGATAGTATTAATGAAACAGTTTTGAATGATATATATTTGATTAAATCAAGAAACCATAAAAAATTATTATTATTATTATTATTATATATATATATATATATATATATATATTGTGGTTGGAAAATGTACCGATTGCCCCAACGAGAATGAAGCTCAAGGATCAAAAGTTGTTCTTCAAGAGTGATGTTTCCACGTCGAACATCAGGACGAAGATAGTTCAACCACCTCAATCTGCAGCTCTTTCCTGTTCTCTTGAGGCCTGTTTCATTGAAATTTATTCATGTAGAGATCGATGTTAGAAATATTAATTTGGTAAAGTTAAAAGCACTCACTAAAGCAACTATAGAAAATGATATATATATATATATAAGCAGTAAGTTAGAGAGAGAAAGTAGAAAGGGAAGTAAAGAATTTGCAGTTTTGGGTTTTAGAAATATGATTGAAACAAACCCATTTCATGGATGTGTGTGTGTGTATATATATATATACATATAATTGATTTACCTGCACAACGAGCAAGAGAATTCCAGCGACCATCACCATGGGTAGAGATGTAATTGATGAGAGCGAAGTCCTCTTCAACAGTCCATGGGCCTCTTCTCAGGTCCATCTGTTCTTCTTCTTCACTAATATTGGCAGAGTTGTTGCAATCTCTATCTTTAACATCCATGAATATTTCCCCCAAATGGAGAGTCTGATTGATTGATACAAAAAAGGTTTTTGATTGATGGGAGAATATTGGGAGAGAGTTTAAGAGAGAGAGAGAGAGAGAGAGAGAGAGAGAGAGATGTGTTTTTAGAGAGAGATTGGATTAGTACAATGAGGACAGAGAAGTGGGCTTTATATAGATACATGGATGTGTTTGAAAAGTGTCACATGTGAGAGGGATTTGGTTTAATCAATAACTAATACTAGTTTTACAGTAAACTAACACTTAAACATGGTTATGATTATACTTGTTTAGTAGAACTTTGACCCTTTGACTTTCCCTTCCCTCTCATTGTGTGCTACTGAGGTTAGCAGTTCCGCGGAAATGGTTTTTTGCATTTTTCTCCATACAAGCTGTCCTGTCATTTTTGCTTGTTTTCTGCTTGAACTTTTTGACTTTCTTTTCGTCTCAAAATTTCCGCTTTTTCAAGGTAAAAGACCATTAAAAATGATTCCTATGAACAATTTTCATAAAATTAAATGTTACAATAGATGTTACCAAAACATATTCACACACCTAACACTTTTTCTTTTTAATTTTTGTACAATTTGCCGAGCCTAATGAGAGTGAGGCTTTATTTAATCGTAAGTTTGCTTTATTGTGATGTAAAAGACACGAATTTGAAATAAAAACTGTCATTCTGCTTGTGAAAGTTACGTGACATATATCTTATTAGGCTTAGATCGAATCCGGATCACTAATGAGTTATCGGACCGAGTGTTTCAATTCATATCTTAATTATATCAGAATCAGTTTAAAACTGGATCCATTCATATGTTTAGTTATAAGGTTAGATATATTAGGTTCGGATTGTATTAGATCCATATTCGAATTAGAATAAAAATCCAATCTACATCGGTTTCGAACCATAGGTTTACATCTGATTTTTCTAAGAACCCTCAATAGTAAGAATCTGGTGTTCAGTTAGCCCTTTAACTCTTTAAATTGACAAGCCTAGTCCGCTTTGGAACAAAGGATTAAAAATTGTAACCAATGGAAGAAGTATATTAGAGGAAGGAAAAATGTAAAAGGTGAGAAGAAATCAAATTTCCCATTCACATTTCTTGCTCACCCCTTCCTTAATGACCCTTTTCACTTTACCCTATCTTAACACGAAATTTTACCACATACCAGACATATAACAAGAATGTCAAGTATAGATATAATTAAAGTTAGTAACTTGTAAGGGTATGTGCATTTAACCCTCCCAAAACTCGGAATAACACAATCTCGTGGATTAAGTTGGCCCTTTGATGTACTTTTTAATTTGGCAAGCTTAGTATGAGTTACGCGGTGCAAAAACTGTTAGTTGATTTAATTGTGATTAAATATCTAAATGACCTAGGTGAGATTAATAGGTCAACTTGCTCAATTTTTGTGATTGATTAATTTACCTAAGCAATATGATTAATTAAACATCCACAATAACACAGATAAATACTGAAAAGTAAATAAAGTAGAGTTAGAGAGATGGTACCAGGATTTTTAGTAAGGAAACCCCAATTGGCATAATAGACCAATTGGTGTGGAAAAAACCTTGTGGACTGTGCAGTCCATAGCAAAACGATCCACTATTTATGAAACAAAATACAATAGACTTTGATTCAGGCTCACACCCTATCGTTCTACCAAAAACCAATCGCTGACAATCTCCGGCTTTGCAATATCCTGTCCAACAGCTCTTAACTCCAGGTTTACTCTTGATCTCTGTAGAAGGATTGTTGATAGATCAAACAACACTCTCGAATGATTTGACCCTTTCAAAGTGTGATCGCTTCACCCATTTCTTTAAGATCTGAATTTGATGTAGAAGAAATAGATTTGCTTTTTCGGAATCTCTGAATCTTCAATTATGGTCCAATTCTAACAAGATAGATAACAACACAACTAAATCACTCATGTATACATGTGTGTGTTCTCAAAATAAAAACAAAAAAATCAGATTTAATTTTCTGAAAAAAATTTCTCAAAAGACTCTCTCAAAATAATGAATTTTTGTCCAAAACGCCATACCTCTATATTGAATGAAAGAGAAATTATATAGAAGTTTGGAAGACCTAAAGATATTTGGAAACCAAGTTAAATTCGTGCATAGGTTTTTGGAACGAAGTCTAAACCAAATAGGAGTCAAAACAGACTAGGAAGGTAAGTTACCAAAACATTTAAGAAAACCTTGAACCGATTCAGTGTTGTTAAATCAGTTCAAGTTGGCCAGTAAGTTTTCGAATAAAACAATCTAAACTTTATGTGATACTTTGTGATGACCGTGTCATTTTTTCCTTTTTCGGGATAAATTTTTTTAATTATTTATTAATATTATTATTTATTTCATTATTCCTTTTCGTGTACCTTAGGGTTTTGTAGGACCCAAGGTAGGGTTTGGTGTCCGGACTTGGTTTCCGACACCACATACATTCACATTATTTTATTTTATTGTCAATGTATAGTTTAATTGCATAGAAAATCATACTTTTTAATTTCATTTCTTAGGGGTATGAATGTATAGTTTCTTCGGAAATATTTTGTAATGACCCGGTCATTTCCTTTCCTTTTCATTTTCGGTAATTTCTTTTTTTTCGTCTTTTCCCTATTTCGTCATTTTGTCGTTTTTCATTTTTCCTTACATAATCCCACTTTTTATGCTCGGATTTGACTCCACCTTTACATACATCCATGATATTAGAATTCTAGGATATCTACATTTACACTTTTGTAGAAAAGTATGTTAAATGTTCGCTTCCCTTGTAAAGGGCATGAATGCATAACTTTTGGCAATTTCCTTAAACTTGAGGGGTTTTTTGTGTAATTAAGTAAAGTAATTATTTTTCGTCTTAGGGACCATTTTGCAATTTAATTTGGAAGATATTTTCAAAAAGGACTTTTTTGCAATTTCCAAAAATGTGACAAGTGTCACATTCCTAAGGTGCCACTTGTTGGCTTGGTTGTGAAACCACTTGGAGCCATTATCCCTTAACACATGGAGGGTAGAGATTCATCCATTTGTTGGCCTAGGATTGGAGCACATGTTGACTTAGATTCATGACAAGTGTAGGCTAGGATTTAGTGTAGGGAAATACCTTAGATTCATGACAAGTGTAAGCACAAGATTAAGTCTTGCAAGTGTGTGTGTGAGAGGTGGTGCAAGAACACCTAGTGAGTGGAGAAGCCCACCACCTTATTTAACTTAAAGTTTGTATTTCTTCTTGCATATTTCATTTTTTCCTCTTAAACCCTAACTTGACCACCATTAGAGCAAAGCTTGAGTCATGGTTTAAAGCTTCATTTTGGTGCCCTTCCATTTGCCTTAGATCATTGAGCTTGGAAGACAAAAGCATTGCCTCATCATCATCTTCATAACCTTAGAAGGAGAACTTGAGATTCCTTTGCTTTCATTGGATTCAAGAGGGTCAATCCTCTTGTGAGGTAGAGGGTGTTCTAATGTTTATCTTTCAAGTAAATCATTGTCTTTTTAGTGATGTATTAATTGTATGCATGTCTAGTACTAACTTGAGAAATTGAGGGTTTAATTGTAGCTTGCATATAAATCACTTTAAACCTTGTATATGGCATGATCATGACTTGAACCATGATATATATCCAGTTGGTATGATTTGAATAATCTTTTAAATTTAGAAAATTAATTAGTATGAATTGATTTAAATACTACTTAATTGTATCATACTTGAATTCCATCCTAGACTTGAAATATGGCATGATCATGACTTATTCATTGCTATATATTTAATTGGAATCATTTGGACAATTCTTGAAATCTAGAGAAATTACTTAGTTGGTCTATTTAATTTGTATCATGTTGATCTTATGATTAAATCATGTAATTCATGGAAATTATTGTGTGTTAATACATATTATGACTTGTTGCTCTATATGTTGATTTTAGGAACTTGGGATATCATCAAGAACTTGACATGGCTAGAGCTTGGTTCTAGTACGGGGGATTGTCCTCCTAAACTATAGTGCGCACTAGGGGAAAGGTACTTATGGGTTAATAGCCCTAAAGTGATCTCAAGAGTACGGTTTTAGTCCGGGTGATATCCAAGTATCCACCTTAATTTGATTTCACTCTTCAATCCTTAGACTTGATAATCTTGTGATATTGCATTTCAATGTGCCATGTTAAAATCTCAATGTCATTTTAAATAGCATGGACCAAATACTATTAAATTGCAAACTTTGTAATAAGTTAATCATGTGCATGCTCATCCCCTACGAATAAACTTGTTAGTCTTGTTTATTCACCCTGAAGTTACTGGGTGTTTTGCAGGTAAAGAAGCTTTGTTGTGGGACACACAACACTCTTAGACAAGCTAGAGGTCTTAAAGTATTTTTGGTGTCATTGATATGCACTTGTTAGCATATTATGATCTTTTTGGTGTATTGTATAAAAACTTGGATTTTGTTCTTTTAACTATGTAATATGTACTTAAGTACACCTTTTGTTACTCTATATATGTGTATTGTAATGAGGCTAAGGGCCAAAGATACTTTAAGCCATGTATGCTACTTAATTTTCATGCTATGTTTATGAAGTATGTGAAAACTCATCCATTGAAGGGTCAAATTTTGCATATAAGGCCGTAGGCCATTCTAGCGCGTTTGAATCTTCATTTTACACATGCGTGCATATTCATATCAAGAAAAATACATTGAATCCAACTTTTAAACTATTTTGGAGGAAATTATGAATTTTCATGAAAAACTCATGCATTGAGCATCATTCAAGGTTCCTTTATGAATTAGCATGTAATGGTTGTTCAATTAAGGTCCAATGATGTTTTGAAGCTTGTTTGAATCAATTAGAAAGCATGCATAACCTTAGAAATGATCCTAGCATCTTTCCCTTGGATTACAGTGAGTATAACAGACATTTTTAGCAGCAGCAAGTTCCATCGGTCGGCTGATGGCAATCATCAGTCGACTGATGATGGTCTCGTAGCATTCCAGTAGCCATTTTAGAAAAAAATGAGCTATCAGACGGCTGATGATTGGGATTCAGCTGGCTAACGATTGACTTTCGGTTGGCTGATGATGGAGGTTCAGCCAACTGATCCTCCCTGAAGCATGGTT